GAGCATCGATCGAAAACAATTTTTCTATCTTTCATAGTAAGGATAAAGTCTACATAACACTACCCTACTTTCTTAATCAATATGTCAAGGGCTTGAGCCCCAAAAATAAAATAAAAAACATGTTAAAAGTGTTGCTCCCTAAAATATGCTAATCCAAATTTAGTTGCAATCCTAGATATATATACATTTTATCAAAGTATACAATACATTCGCTATAAAAACATATATATTTTTCTGTGATTTTGAGTTGCAATTATTCAAAATCAGTTAATCGAATCTCCATCAAATAACTTCAAATTTTATAGATAATTTCCTTGTATTAACTATTCCAACAAGTCTAAACAACACCTATTTCAAAAAAAATTCACACAAAATAAAAATAAAATTCGAAATTTAAACTCACTTCTTCAAGCTTATTCAACTATGACGAATTATCTTTCTAATTTAATTTTCAACATTTAAATTTCACAAAATTAGTACTCTAACTACCAGTTGGGTCCCAAATATATTAACTAATCGAGATTGTCAACTAATTATTCAGAGGTGGTTGCCTGGTTGATCCCAAATAAAATAAAAATTAATATTTTTGTTATTTTCGATCAAATGTGTGTAAATGGCGTGTCACTCAACTTTTAATTTTGTACATCAAAATCAATTTGACCACTATCAATATTGCATAAATAAAGTTCGTGGTAAATTGGTAATTAGTAAGTATTTTTTTATTTTTAACCAGAAATTTTTTATTTCGAATCTTCTTGAGTTAGAAGTCGTCTTTATTAGAGAGTATTTTACCTTCAACGTGACACTTTTTTGTGCAAATTCAAATTTAATCGAGCTCTAATATGGATACCAAACACTAGGCGGAAACAAAAAAACAAGTATATATCTGCTCCATATATTAGTGTTTGCCAGCTTGAAAAATCATCAAATTTGCCTTTTGCTGGAATCAATTGCATCATATCTTTCCAATGATGTAAGTAGGATATTCTTCCAGAACTTTATATATATATATATATATATATATATTTATTTATTTTTTTTTTATTTTTTTTTAGTATTATTATTTTTTTTTATTTTTTTTTAGTATTTGTATTGTGATTTGATTAAATTTAAATTTATGTATTTGCGGGCAGTTACTAATAAGATATTTTTATTTTTAAAAATTTAAATTTGAGATTTTTAGTTAAATACGAGAGACTCAAATCATCTCGCAATTTATATTGGTACAAGGATATAGTACAACTACTATTTATTTGGGAATCTGAAGTTTAACAGAAACTGCAAGTTGTATATATGTCAACTTACATACAATCCTAGGTTCCTCTCTTCTTCTTATTTTTTCCTTTTTTGGCATATAGTCTTTGTACTTCCAAATTAATCCTAACTTGGATTTTAAACACTCTATGTATTATTTTATTTTTTTACCATTTTAATAATAGGAATAATTGCTTTAATCTTGGTGAATTAGGGGCAGATACACCATTAGTGAAAAGAGTAAATTTTATCATGAAAGAATGTGGTACAAACGATGGAGATGCAAAGGTTGTATTAAGGGGTGTCGGTCGACACCTCTTCATCGAAAAATTATATTGTGTAGCTAATATA